ATTGTTACTTGATACATGCACGTCTGTAACATCTTAATATTAACTTCTTTTCTCCTATCCCCCAGAGTGTGGGATATCCCCAAGGGTTACCTGTTTTTTTTGCTATTGAGCCTATGCTGGCCAGGAATTCACTGTGTAGCACAGGCTGCCTCAAACTCCCGGTCCTTGGGGCTGGGCTGTAGCATCCCTATGCCTGTACCTATTAAATTATCTTGTTAATGGCTTCCTCAAAATGACCTCTGTTTTAGTGATTCCAATGGCTGCTCCCTAATCAATTAGATAAGCAGATGTCTAGATGGACTGATTAATTCTGCCAACTGCCAGGCATTGTGCTATGGGGTTTGTCAAAATGAATAATGGAGTCACTGGTCTAGAAGATGCAAAAGTCTAATGGAGTGTGATAACTGAAGAGCTAGCCCACCATGGTTCTGTTAGTGAGTACTGTGATGACGAGCACAGGGGGCTTGGCATTAGCACTGAGTTGCCCCTCTGGACTCTAGTTATCACCTTGCCAATCCAGGCCACATTCCACTTACCTTCCTTAGGCACTACTGCCTTCATGTCACTTCTGTGATCAAAACCACAGTTGCTCCTTAATTTATCTCTCATCTCCCTTACTTTGTCTCTTCTCCCTATCACTTTCATAGCTTGTTTTATCCTGTCCTCTACCATATGCTTTTATTGGGGGGAGGGAGTTGTTAGTTTGCTGAGGATTGAACTCAGAGCCTCTTGTGTATTGGGCAAGCACTGTACTACTGAGCTATGCCCCCAGCCCTCTCATGCCACCCTAAAGTAACTTTTCAGTCCAGGATCCTTGTATTACCTTAGAAACTTACTGTTTGTTTTCAGTATGATCATTTACCCTCCTCATCCACTTATTCAAGTCCTGACCATTTTCTAAGGTTTGTCAGTTTATAATACTGCACTGCCTCACATTGTGAGTGTTATTTCTGTCTCTTCAAGGAGACTGTAAATGCTTCAGAACAGGCTTCCCATTATGTGATGTTTTTGTATCTTGTATAGAGCCTAGTATGGTGCTGAGCTCAAAAACTAATTGTTGCATTTCAGTAGAATGTAACTAGGGCATCCCTTTCCCCTCAACATTAAAAGTAGCAAGAGATTACATCCTTTTGGTCTCCTAGGAACAGGGTGTCTGACTAAAAAGGTGTGTAACTAAAAGTTCAAAACTTCTGTTTCATACACAAATGTAAAGAGAGGAAAAAGGAAATGAATTTACCAAATTCATCTTTCTTTTCTATCAGTTTGCTATAAATGCCCAGTGGACTGAAAGAAATGGAAAAATCATCTGGCATAAAAGCCATGGGTAGAGGTAATTGGCTCGTTTAATATGGGACTCTGAAAGAAGGCCCAGGCCTGAGGCAATGCTGCTGTATCTGCGCCATGGGGTTAAGGTGTTTCATGGGGTGAAGATGAGACAGTGCTGGGCGAGGAATGCGCTGACACTTTAGATCCCACGTGGCTTTGCTGTGCTCCAGCCTCATATGATAGCTTGGTTTGCATTTTACAAAAATACATTTTTCTATTGTGGTGTATGTCCTAGAGCTACTATGATTAATGATACATTGATAGTAACTTCTCCGTATTTTCAGGCCAGATTTACTTCCTTGCCTTTAAAGAGGAGCAGAATTCTGTTGTAACAGAGTGCTGAGTATATTATATTATGATTGAGGACATGTGGAAGGGACTCCTAACCCAGACCTGGAGGTGTCAGTCATCTTTCCAGATGGAAGTGACATTGATGTCTAAGCTCAGACCAGAAAGATAAGTAGAGTTAGCTAGAGGAATATATGAGGAAGTGGATAAGGAGATGATGATAGACAGACAGACAGAACTACACTGTCTTTACATCTGCTAAAGACGGGAAATTGTGGTGGTTATCTCTTTTGGTTTTAACTCATTCATAGAAATTACCCACTATCCTCCCTTTATAGTAACAACTAAATAGAATTTGTTTGCTGTGTGTTAACACCCCCTCTCCCTAATATTAAATTATTAGAGTTAAAAATTGTTTTTTCCTTAGACATTGGTACATTTTACTAATTGTGTTCTCTTTGGTCTGCAATTATTGCAGACCACTGACTGCCTTCTTCATGTCCTTTTTGTAAACTATTAAGAGAACTAGAAAATTGGTTTTGGAGGGAGTTTTGTTTGCTCTTGTCTATAAAGACATCTACTCTTTCAGATGTTTGGAATGGGTTCATAAGGTAATGTAGAACAGACACCTCATTTCTGCTTTGTTTAGGAAGAATGAAGAGGAAACTGGGAAAATATTAGGGTTGAGAGTTCTGGATTGGAGTACCCAGAATGACACCTGGCATAAAATAGACTCTAGGTAGATGCTCAGGCAAAGCACATGAAGAAGGGAAGATGAGGGGAGGAAATGATTAGCTGCCACATTAAGACTATGAGCTGATGATTCCGAACTAAGTCTGTAAGAAGAAAAGAGCAAAGTGTCCACAAAGAGACAGGAGCCTCGGCATACAGTCTTACTAACTGAGGCTCTGATATCATACAGCTGTATGTTCATGCATCAGCTTGGCAAAAATCTCAGTAAACCTCATTTAGTCTGTTGTATAATCAGAAATACTGTTATTTATCCTTATAAACCATATAGAAGATCTGAGATAGTTTACAAAGAGGGATAGATCAGTCTCTGTTAGATGTCCCTTCAGGTCCTGAGCTAATGAAGAGCAGGTGGTTTCACTGTTTGGCTCAAGACTTGTAAAAATGTCATTTAAAAATTTGTTGGGAGAATCATCTCTTAACACATCCCTAGATGTAGCAGTATTTTTCATTTATCACTTCAAAAAAATACAGTGCTAAGGACTGAAAATACAGCTTTGTTCATGCTGGGCAAGTTGCTCTACCACAGAGCCAGCCCATCATCAGGGTCTTAAATGTCAGCAAATATGGCTGGTACTGGATATATAATTTGTTGTTGTTTTTTTTAAAGTAATATTTTCCATTTGTTTTGCCAACTGCACAACTTTATTAGGATTGTAACTTTCACAGTTGGCAAAAAATTCTCATATATTGTAGACTTCTGCTATCTATAAGAGGAAGACTCAAAAGATGCTGAAAGAATAGTTAGGGGAGCTTATTTTGGAATATGGAAGAAATGGGTGAGCTAAAAACTTAATGCTACCTATCAGTGATCTTAACACTCAAATTTAACATCCCCCTTTACAAATATTTAGCAGTGCCCATATACTATCCTGAAATTAATTTTATAATAAAGTAACCTACTTAAACACTTAGGCCCTGAAATAATAGGCATTACCTGCTTATAAATTACAAAGTAAAAAAAAAAAAGTCATTTATAATGTTTTAATGTATAAGTGCTTACGCCTAACTACAGTGGGAAATTTTCTGAAGTAGAGTGAATTCAAGAACTGCAAATGTAGACTTGTCATGAATGCACATATGACTCAAATATATGCCATTGAACTGGTATTCTGATTTTTTCAAAATGGTTTACTTGGAATAAAAAGTTTATCTTAGAATTGGAGATATAGCTCAAGTGGTAGAGCACCTGCCTATCATATGTGAAGCCCTGAGTTCAAACTCCATCACCACCAAAAAAAAAAAAAAGTCTTATTAAAGTTGTTATGGGGGTATGAGTTGAGTGGTAAAGAGCCACTTAACAAGTGTGAGAAGGCCCTGAGTTCAAGCTGCAGGACTGCCAAAACAAGTGTCTCTCCCTTTTATTCACAGACAAGTACACTACTGAAAAATTCAGTTTCCTTTAAAGCTATGTAAAAAGTTCTGTTTGTACAACTATGGCCAGAAATTTCTAGATTCTCACATACTTCTGAAGTGTCCTGTAGTTGTTGTAATGCTGTCCTGCCCACTTGGAGAACTGCTGCTGTGTAAAGGCACAGTGTTTTCATGTTCTATGTTAAGACAGCGATACTGAACAATTAGAAGGATTTGATTTCTGGCTGTGCTGGGACTTGAGTTCAGGGCTTCATGACTGTGAGACAGGTGCTGGGCCACTTGAACTATGTCTCTAACCCAGGAGAAGGGTTTTTTAAAACATTTTATTAGGAGTTCTGGATTTGTTTTGAACTGTTTATTTTTTTTTTTCCACATGTCCTTTGGGACCAATCATGTGTTTGTGAGCTGATTGGTCATCGATAGAGGAGATGTATTCTTATTGTAGAATAGAGTTTTACTCCTGGTGACATAAAGAGTTGTGTATGACTAGAGTAAAAAAAAAAAATACTGGCAAATATATGAGAAATACATAAATGTTTAAAATTTTTTAAATCTTCCTAAAAAATAATTGGCTGCTTAAGCAAAAGTATTTACCATGTACTATGTTGTATCTAACCAATATAAAAAGAGAATGTGTGGCAACAGCAGCACAAAGACATGATGGGAAATGGAAGTACACTTGCAAGGCCCTTAGGACAAGGGTAATGGGAGAGTGTCACTTGAAGGTTGACTGTGATAGATGATACATTGGAAATTATAAAGCAACCATTCAGAAAAACAAAAACAAGGGACTACAGCTCATAAGACAGTAAAGCAGATAAGATGGAATCATAAGAAGTACTCAGTCTAAAAGAAGTCAGAAAAGGAGGGAAAAAGTGAAAAGAGCGATACCTGATATTGTCAGATATGTTCCCCAGGCTGGTAGTTTGAACTGCTCCCAGAACTATGAGTGTTAAAGATGGCCTAATTCCTTTACATTCAAAGATTGGTGCCCTTCCTAGAAGAACTTGGCCTGTATATGTTGGAAGTCTTCCAGTATTCAGGGTTTCTCCCATTTCCCACACTGCTGCCCTGTTTTACAGCCCCCATGGTCACTATGCGCCTAGCTCTGTCCCTTCTCTTTAGCATTCCAGGAGGAAAAGTGTCAGTGCTCTGCATTTGCCAGTCCACGATGTTGCATGATAAAGTGGAATGAATTGCTGTTTGATGGTTTTCTATGATGTCTCAATATACTTTACTTTTTCTTTTTCCCCCATATTCAGAGACATGAAAAATGCTGTAATTGGAAATAACAAGCAGAAAGCAAACCTCATTGTCTTAGGAGCTGTTCCCAGGTATGTTTGCTGCCTACTTTCCTTTTCTATCATTCATGCTAAGTTTCTAATATATTTCTTAAAAACTCATATTTTTTATCTTTTCCTATTTCTAAAATCTATTTTTTAACATAAATGCTTTGAAACTTATGAACTATATCGAAGGAAATAGGTATGTATACACATGTATTGTATATATAATAAATATGTAAGTATGTTGTAGATAGTTTATATGTTGTGTATACAAATATATTGTATATGTTGTATATATAATAAATGTGTATAAACTATAGAATGAAATAAGAAGTGAGTATATTAATACTCTTTGGAAATTTAGGTATATCATTGACCCCACAATATTAGAGTTTGTTGGGGATTGGTGTGGTGGCTCATGTCTGTAATCCTAGCTACATGGGAGGCAAAGATCTGGAGGATCTAAGTTTGAGGCCAGTCTGGGCAAAAAGTTAGTGAGATCCCCATCTCAACCAATAAAAAGCTGGGTGTGGTGGTGCATATCTGTCATCCCACTATGCAAGAAACATAAAAAGGAGGATTGCTGTCCAGGCTGTCCTGGTTATAAACAAGAGACTTATCTGAAAAAATAACTAAAGCAAAAGAACAGGGATATGATTCAAGTGGTAGAGCATCTGCCTAGCAAGGATGAAGCTCTGAGTTCAAACACCAGTGTTGCAAAAAAAAAAAAAAAAAAAAAAAAAGGTTTGTTGGATACATAATCAGTGTACACTGGCCTGATACTTCCTTCCCATTGCCTTAGACCTGTGGTAGTTTCTGATAAAAAGTATATCTCCCTTTTATTTACAGGACAAGTACACTACTGAAAAACTCAGTTTCTTTTAAAGCTATGTAAAAAATGCCTGTCCATGTTACGCGTGTGTGTGTGTGTGTGTGTGTGTATAGCACTTTCAGGAGCAGGAAGGCTTTACTTAGCATAGAGCATGATGGTCATAAGTGGTGAAGAGCTGCAACTAGGGAGTAGTTGTTTGGCAAACTAGACTGTAGTGGAAATGGGAGGATTTCCTCATTCCCCAAATGGGTGAATTAGAGAGAGAAGAAAGCTTTTCTTGCTTGAAGAACTTCACAAAAACTCTGAGTGTTCCCTCTAGGCTAAACTTCTACCATCTTAGCGCTGTTGCTCTGAATTCAGGGTCCATTTCTACTTGACTTTAAGATCCAAAAGTACTTGGCATTGGGAATCTTATTATTCTGAAGGGACCTACCAGGAAGTAGTGGACAACATGGACTATAGTGCTGTTTCTGCAGAGACCACTGCAGACAGCTTTCAGATTTACAGTTTGGTTAACTATGAGATTTTATGATAGTCCTTTTGCTTAAAATGAAGAATCTCTCAGATTTTTTTCTTTATTGATTAGCAGATGATATAAATAGTGATTACCCAGAGGGATTCAAATAAGCTCAACCAACCATATTTTTACTACATGGGATATGTTAGTAGCCTTCTTTTTTCATGTTGCTTTGTCACATTAGTTTACTTTTGTTTTTTAGTGTCTGTTTACCAATTCCTTCCTTTTAGATTGTTGTATTTGCTTCAGCAAGAAACCTCAAGTACAGAGCTGAAAACTGAATGTGCAGTGGTATTAGGAAGTCTTGCTATGGGTACAGAAAACAATGTCAAGTCTCTACTGGACTGCCATATTATCCCTGCCTTACTGCAAGGTATGTAGGGAAACCATTTTTGCACAAATAAAGATTAGAATCTATCTGCAGACTTTTGAATACTGGTTAAAAGATGAGTCCCACATGTGGTTTCTATTGATAGGACTACTGTCTCCAGACCTGAAGTTCATTGAAGCTTGCCTCCGATGCCTGCGCACCATCTTCACCAGTCCTGTAACTCCAGAGGAGCTGCTGTACACAGTGAGTTGTGGTTGTTCTTTCATTATTAGTTACATTTCCCTAACAGCACTCTCATCACAACCGGGATACATAGAAAGGTCTTAAGAAGAAGTATTTTAGTTCTTGCTTATTTGCAAATATCAGGTGCTCTAGGTTTTCTAAAAAGTGAATGATAACCTCAGACTTTGAAGAATTTATAAGCTGTTAAAGACAGGCCCATTTTTATCTCTTTGTATGACAAATTAAGAGAATATATTTATGCTAAATGAATGAAATGTAGTTCTGCTCACTTTTAGGCTCACATCCAGGAGAGCAGTCTTTCAGAGTAGAACTGCTAACCTCTCTTCCCCATTTGACTTTCTCATCTTCTGTTCCTTTTCTTGTTGTACATTTAACACCTGACTTTCTTTGAGGTTTCCAAGCTTTTTACTTTGTTTTTAAACTGCTTATGACAACACAGAGGCTTATGCTAGCATGTAAGAGAGAGGGGTTCCACTTTTAGGGAATCAACAACCTGCTGCTTTTTTTTCTTTTCTCTCTCTTTTTTTTTTTTTTTTGTGGCACTGGGGTTTGAACTCTGGGCTTCACACTTGCTAGGCAGGTACTCTTACCACTTGAGCCACTCTGCAGCCCTTTTTTTTTTTTTCTTCTGTTTTTTTCTACTTTTTTATATATATTGAGCATTCTTTTCTCCCTTGCCCTCTGTTGTGTTTTGTGAGAGTCTTCAAAGCATGGTCATGGGCAGAAGAATCAGCCTCTTGTGGTAGCTTGTTAGGATGCAGTCTGTTAGGGCCTGCTCCAAACCTACAGAAACATAGTGTATGCCTTAAGAACACCCCCTAGAATTTGTATGCTCTAAGTCTTCTTTTTCCATCTGTAGGTCAGGCCCAAAACTCCTTTCAACTTGTAATTTCTTTCGCATTATAAATAAAGGGAAATTCTTAAAATATCCTGAAGGAGGGTAGATTAGTTCCTTTTTTCCTAGGCCACCATGTGTATGTCAGCAATAGGCAGAAAGTAGGCTTTATGCGATAAGGTGCTAATCATGTAAATTGTCTTGTCTTGTGAAAATTGAAAACAGCCAATTACAGTCATTATAAGAAATTGAAGTAATTACTGGTGCTTACCATACACCTCAAGATCAAGATTGTCAAGTTTTACTTTTATACAGTATTTCTTCTTTATAGTTACTTATTATTCTGTATCTTACTAGTTACCTCACACTTTGGTTTCAGAACTGAATTATGTCAAATCTTACTGTAATAAAGTTTTATTGTAAAGCATTGGCTGATTGAGAGTTCCCCCTGTCCTTGTATTCTCTTTCTAGAGTGGATATAGAAGCCCCTTTTCTTGTCCTTTGCCTGAACAGTTTCAGTGGCCATGCTGGTTTTGTTTTACTCTGTTCCTTAAAGAGACTTCATTTACTGTTAAAGAGGCTTTATTGTGTGCCTGCTCGTGGAAGTATTTTGTCAAGCGTATGCACAATGCCTAAGTTCCTTGTTGCTGTGCTTTCCACTCCAGGATGCCACAGTGATACCACACCTTATGGCGCTGCTTAGCAGGTCCCGCTACACCCAGGAGTATATCTGTCAGATCTTCTCACACTGCTGTAAAGTAAGAATAAGAGTAATGTTCTCTTTAATGAAATATCTTACATGCCCATAAGAGATGTGTCTTATTTGTGTGTTCTCCCAGAGATGCTCTGTACATACAGACTTAGGTATATAGTTTTCTCTGTTTTTTCCCTGGTATGGCAACATACCATGTATACTATTTTAAACCTTGCACTTTCCACTTAGCATATCTTGAAGGCTATTCCATATCAGCATTAGGAGCTTCTTCGTTCTGTTTTTGTTTTAAACAGCTGCATAGTATTTCACTGTATGGCTGCATAAGAATTTATGTAATTAGTCTTCTATTGTTGAGCCATTTAGTTTTTTTCCAGTCTTATGCTGTTACAAAATAATGCTCCAATAAATACCTTTCTAGGAGACATTTTATGAGAAATGGAATTGGATTGAAAAAATGTATAATTATAATTTGTCTTTTGTAGAGGTTCTCTGATTTTATACTGCCAACAGTGTGTGATCATACCTATGTCCCTAGACCCTCCATTCTTATGTTGTTGGAAACATTTTAGTAATCTCATACAAGGAGAAACAAGAGAGGTTCTTCTCTCCTCATTGTTGAGTATAGTTAGCTGTCTCTTTCTCTTTCTCAATATACTCAGGTAGTTATGCAGATAAATACACTGAGATAGTTAGGTAGAAAGAACTGAGACAATTTGGTATTGTTAGAAGGCCTTATGTGTTGAAGCCAGACACACCCAGTTTTGAATTCTAGTTCTGATTTGTGTTTACTCAAGGACAGTGAATGTGCTAGTTGACATCTCTAAGCATTTGCTTTCTCATCATAGATTTTAGGAACCTTGGCATACTTTTCTTACTGAGTTGAGGGCTTTAACCTTTTCTCCTAAATGAAGCACTTTATGGCTTCTCTTTAGCACATTCAAATTACTGTTCTTGCACGGTGAAGCGGTACAAAGGGCAAAGTACAGGAGAAGGGGCACAGCTTCCATACCCTCTCCAGTTGTACCACCCTCCAGTATCCTCCATGTGTTCAGTATCCAGAAGCTTTCATTTCTGCTTTTAAAAGGTCTCAAACCTAAACTGAAGAGTGCTATGAAGTACTACATGTTTTGCTTCATAGATTACAAACTGGAGTTCTTTTTTTGATAGCTATGGGTGATTGTTTATTTAAGGCCTTTGTTAGTTTCTAAACATTTTCTAATGTCTAACCATATTACTGGTTATTGCCTGGTGATTCTGTGTTTTAGAATAGTATTACCTTCTTTCCTATCATATATAATGTAAACTCCTGTTGAGGAACTTTGGGAACCATAGAAAAGAAGGGCCAAGAGAAGTGAATGCCTACATTCCACAGGTTTTCACTATATTAGAACATCTTCCCAAATAAATGAAAAAGTACCTAAATTGTCATCTCATGATTTAAAACCCCTTCCAAGCCCTAGCTGATTGTCACAACTTATTCAATTCTGTTTAAGGCACTTAGAATCTAAGATTTTTGTCAAAAATCCATGAGGTTTCTTTTCCTTTGACAGTGTATAGGCCAACTCATAGAACCCAGGGTATGAAACAATACCTTTGTCTTTTCAGGTAAGCAGAGAAATGCTCTAAGAAAATGAAACTTTATTGAAATTCATTTGCTATAAATGAATTAAGACAACATGATCTAGAAATTTGCAACAACAAAATGATGTCTTATAGCTAGCCCTGGCAGGGAAGTAGAGAATGGTATTTGGATATAATGAGATACCTCATAGCAATCTCTCAGTGCCTGTTTTTTTTTTGTTTGTTTATTTGTATAGTGTTACAGACAACATAGTTTTATTATATACATATATATACATATATATATATATGTATGGAAACTATATTTTTTAGATTAAAAATAAAGTAGTTTAAGCATTTCTGCATACAAAAATTTTAGGTTTTCATTTATTAAAAACAAAGCAGTATAAGTTCTGTTGAAGTAACCATATGTACATCAAGATATTTAAATTTATGGAAAATAGAAGTAATCAACAGCCTCAAATTTCTCTGTTTTTATGACTTAATTTACCCTTTTCAGATTTTTTTGTTAAAATAATTTTATTTAATTTAATACCTAGGTCAGTGTGTTTTTCTGGTTTTGTTAATAGTCAAAATACTTAGTAAAAATGATGAGGTTGCACCAGCTATGAAATAACATTTACAGTTGTCTAGATATGTAGTAGGAAAATATGTAAAATATATAAGGAATTATTCCCCATAAGAAGTATAAATTCACCTTCTATTGATTATATGAATATCAAAAACTATCCTGATTTAAAAGAAGCTTCTATAAAATATTATAATAGGCATTACTTGTTCTCCAAATGTTATGTATAAATAAATAATATTACTGTCTCAATTAAACAGTAATACCAGTATTTCTTAGCAAAAATGTTGTGTATATATGGTAAGGTAGTCCTTGGCCTATAGGCAATTTTCCAAGTTTGATCTCCATTAAAATGTTCTCTAAAACTGATAAGAACTACCACACCAAAGTAAAAAGATGAGGTAAACATCTTATACTTTAAGAAAGTACTTGGAACTTCATACTCAACTATTCCCTAGTGCCTAGACTCTCGAATAATGCTTTGAAAGGTCCTCCGCAACAATGGCGATGATGACATGTATTTGAGCCACGTAATAGTCTCCTAAGTCTTCTGAGTAGGTAATGATGTTCTTTTCTGTTATTACAAAACAGTCATGACTTTTGCCAAAAGTATTATTCCAGTGTGGGTTTACAGGAGGCACCATGGCACAGTAAGAGCAGCTACAGGGCCATTCAAAACCGCCATGCTATAGCCCCCGTGGAAAGAATGTCCAGTGAGTTTCTTGAACCCAGCAGGAGGAAACATTCCTGGTTCAAAAGAATCGAAATAAGTCACTGTCCAAGAAAAGCTGCCGCAGGAGAATCCAGCAGTTAGGGATCCTAACAGCCCAGTGTCTACATCCTCTTCATTCTTCCAATTTTCAGCGTGCAACTCTTTAACGACCAGGTAGGCGATGGTGAGGAGGAAAGCCAGGAGGGCAGCAAACGGCAGTGAACAAACAATAGAGAGGAGCTGGATGGGCCACCGCCGAGCCTGGGCCCGGCTGCCCGCGGCCACTGGAAAGACCCTGTTGGGCTTGTCATGCAGCACTGGCGACCTGTCCCTGTCCAGCAGCCGGGCTTTTTTTTTTTTTTTTTTTTTGCAGTGCTGGGTTTGAATTCATGGCTTCATACTTGCTAGGCAGGCGCTCTGCCACTTGAACCACACCTGCAGCCCCGGTGTGTGTATTCCTGAGTGCTCAAGATAGTATAGCATCTCCTACTCATGACCATAGTAATCTCTCAAGGGTGCTGAAAATTGGACCTGGAGAAATAACTACTTGTCAGATTCCTTTGTTAAATTATAAGAAGTTTGAATAATCCTGTTCTGAAGTTACCAAATAGGTAACTTCAGGATTATTCATTAGAAATTTGTCAGTTAGACAAATTGCATTTACAATTGCTCATCTGAAACTTCTCACTGCTGTCCTAGCTGAAATCGTATATAAAGGAGTACCGTTAAATCAGGAGTTCTTTCACTGGAGGGAAACTTGTGACCAGGATAATGATTTACAGCCACTGTCATGCACTGACTAAAGATGTCAGAGAAAATCACCTTTACTCAGCTTTCTTTAAGCCTGATAATTAGCATTTGCTACTGCAATTAAATGACCAAATTTAAGTATCCTGAGATACAATTAGACCTCAAGAAACATTACAGCATTTGTAAAGCTGGTGACAATAGTAATGGCTTAAAATACAATTTAACTTCACTAATTCACTAACAGCAGCTATCTTTGAAAACAACTGATCTGATGGTCTTTGTATTAGAAAAACCTTTTATTGTCATGTTATTCTTTTTTTTGTTGTTGTTTTTTGGTTTTTTACACATAGTTCCAAAGAAATTTTAAGACTCATTTACCCACTTACTTAAAATTGGATGGGACAAGATTTTAAATTACTAATTTTGCATAGGCTGGTATCACTGTAAAGTCAATTTAAATTCTTTGAGGAACAAGTCAAGAGAAGGAGGAATTACTAAGGCATTTGTGTTATAAGCTAATCATAATTGAATTACTAAGGAGCAAAAAATAGACTAGTAATAGTATTTATTGGAATTTTGTCTTCTAAATTGTCAATTTTTAAGCATTTACTCAGCTTTCTGAGCCCTATCTTTTTAAGACCACAACGGCTTATGTACTTCCCACCCAGTAGATGTTTCCCCACTAACCACCAGGTTGTCTTATAGAAAAACAAAAGAGACGTGGTAAGAATCAAAGGATAGCTCCTCTCCAGTTAGCTCAGCCACTGGTCCCTTCTTGCAGTTGTTTTTACATAATCCTGTGTACAACCTCACAGAGAAGGAAGACCTTTGATGACAAATATTTGTTGCTATCTTTGAAGCAATGTATTGAAAGGATAACAAGTGAGGTATCTCATGAGCATGGAACAGGTATGTACAGAGAATTACAGTGTGCCTCATTTTTTCACTATCATTTGTGAATACAAACTCTTACCAGAAAAGATATTCCAGAAAATACTGATTTTAGGAGAAAAAAAAAATGCATGCACATTGGTATGCATTGAAGTGATGTTTGTAATAGTAAGAGACTGAAAATCTAAATGTCTAATTACAGGTTACCAGTTATATAAAATATGAGGTAGTCGTACAATAGAAAAAGGCCAAGAAGAAATGAGAAGCTCTTACATACTGATACAAATGATCTCTGAGATATATTGCAAAGAGCTTAAAAGGTTTGGAGCACTGTATATAGTAAAACAGGAAAAATCATACACTTACATGTTTGCTTGCATATGTTGTGTTGTGTTGTTTTGTTTTGTTTGCAGTACTGGGGTTTGACTCAGGGTTTCATGCTTTGCAACACAGTTGCTCTACCACTTAAGGCACACATCCAGCACTGTTTTGTTTTTGAGATTGGGTCTTGCTATATACACTAGGCTGGCCTCAAACTCGCGTTCCTCCTAACTGCTGAGATTAAAGGCATGTGCCACCATAACCAGCTTTTGTATATATAAAAAGTGTCTTGAAGAATATAAAATAACATATTACACTTAGGTCACCTCAAAAGACAAGAAAAGAACAGAGTGGCTGCAGAGATGGAAGAACAATGAGGTGCAGAAGACCAAGATAGCACCCTGCCTACTTAACCATTCTGTTAAACTCTGCCAGTGTTTAAATTGAGATGTCAAAATTTTTAGATGGGCAAAAAAATGCAGTATTTGGGCAGGTAAGCTTAGGCCACTTTAGGCTTCTCTTCACAGTTCATTCTAGTTTCTACATAGGACAAAGGGGGCAGATCCTTAAGAGACCTCTCTTTTACTTGGCTCCCCATTAACAGCCTCCTTCACTATGTTTGTAATGAATAAGCTGGGACACCTTTGTTTCATATGAGACAGTGCAAGTGAAGCATATAGAGCTGTGTCCATTACAGACAAGTACTCAGTAAGTAGTACCAGTGATTGTAACTGCAGATGCATGGATCAAGTGGGAAGAAAGGGAGCACGTGTAAACTTTGTCCTGAGAATGTCAGTTTGGTCATTATTTATTTCAAAAGCAGGTTTGCACCATTCTGGATGGATATGCAACAATAAAAATATCAAGCCATTTTACTTTGGGATTTTATCCTCAAAACCTAGGAACTACACTGAGATGTACCCTCAGTAATACAACAAAACACTGTTTGTAACAGTAATATGTTAAAAACTGCCTAAATTAGTTGGGTGCAGTGGCTCATGCCTATAATTGTAGCTACTTGGGAGGATTGTGATTCAAGGCCAGACTAGACAAAAAGTTAACAAGACCCCCATCTCAACCAATAAAAAGTTGTGCATGGTGGCACATTGGAAGTGTAAATAGGAGGACTGTCATCCAGGCCAACCTTGACATAAACACAAGAACCTATTAAAAAAATACCTAAAGCGAAAAGGACTGGGAGTGTGGCTCAAGTGGCAGAACACCTGCTTAGCAAGCTTAAGGCTTGAGTTCAAACTCCTGTACCATGAAAAAAGTCCCCATAACAACAACAGAAAACCTACTTAAAATATGTGGTGAGAGGTTTGCATGAGAAAGCAGTGAAATACTCTTAACAGTGATTAAAAATAAGAAATTAGAAGTTAGAAAATGTGTAAAAGTTAAGAGAGAAATGACTGAAGTTTTAAAGGACCCTTTTAATATATAATGTTTAGAGGATTAGTACCTATAAAATAGAATACGGCTGATGTGTTGTTCAGAAGTATGAGAGCTAATCTTATATCAGATGGTGTATGTTTTGCCCCAATAAAGAGTGAGCCACTCTAGTGTTTTGTTTTGTTTTGTTTTGTTTTGTTTTGTTTGCAAGATAGTTGTTACTTAGGTAAATGATAGCTTGAAGAAATTTGAGAGTTCTTCTGGACCAGTAACTGGTTTCCTTTGGCAAACTCCAGACCACTTGCCTTTCAGTGATAAGTTTTTCTCTTCTGAATAAGGGTAAACATGCAATTTTATCCCTGTCTTGGCCTTAATTGACTTTTCATTAATTGATTGGGTGAGCTGGAACATAAAATGAACAATTAAGAATCGCAGCAAAATTAAAGCTTTGCATTAACCTTTAGCTTCTGCCACTTTGAAGATCATTAGTATATTGATTAGTAGAAAACAGAGTTGATGAAAAGAATATAGCTTTATTTTCCTGTCTCCTTAACTTCCTATTTTAAGAAGCAATCATTTTAAAAAGAGAAATGAGAAATACAAACCCAAAATGTACTCATTTCTCAGTTACGGAGTGTTGTGTTTCTTTCCACTGTAGCATTACTGAAACTGCCCTGATAAGTTGTGAGGTGAGTTTCCCTTGTAGTTAGAGTTCTCCTGACCAGCTCATCAGTCTTAAGATGTAAGAGTGACAGTGCCACTGTCTCCTGTGGTCCTAGGGCACAGGTGCACATGAAAGGCAGTGCTGTGGCGGTATGCTGGTTAATAACTGCACAGGCCTCTGCCAAGGTGGCTTCTCTGTCAGCTTCCGTTTTTCTGGGCATGAGGAGGCAGCAGTTCTAGATGTGGGATGAGTAGAATATGGCAGCCCCTTCCAGGAGTAAAGCAGTGTCTGCCTTGCTTTTTGGGGCTGAATTTATGCAAGGAAAGGGTAACTGAGAAATCTGTGCCATAGTGAATTGAGTTTTCTCCACTTTAATCACAACTTTCGTTAATGTATTATTGTATTCTTTTTTCTTACAGGGGCCAGACCATCAAACAATTTTATTTAACCATGGTGCAGTCCAGAATATTGCCCACCTACTAACCTCACTCTCCTATAAAGTAAGATGTTAAACTATGGCTAGATTTTTATTTTGTTTTTCGTTTATAGAAAGAGACCCACATATTTTATTGCTGCTTTGACAGATGTGTGATTAGGAGTAGTGTTACAGGGCATTATATTACCTATACAGTGGACTTTGACTAAAAAACATTGCCCCTACATCTGCCATCTTTTCAGGATATGGTTGTTCCATGAATTGCTGTTGGTATACTGTTAAGTAGTGTTTCAAGTCTTCTTGGTTAGGTTTCAGTGCCAGTGCTGCTGCTTGAGAAGCAATGACTGGTGATATCAGGAGAGACTTCGTATTTAAAAACCTTTATTTAGCCACAGTGACTTAACTCACAGCATATGCCTCCATGTGTATCAGCGTTTAAAATGTGTTCTGTTTTATATTTTGAGTTAAACGGTCAGGAGTTTCACACCCAATAACTCAGCTCTTACTGTCTTTCTTGCAGAGGTAAAGGGCATCATAATATGTTGTCAAGTGCCGACTTTGCCCATTCATTGCTGCCCACCTAGCAAGTTGTAGCAAATGTGTTTGCTGTGTTGTTGTTGTGTCACGTTAGAACTGGGTATGGCAGAACAGAGAAGGAGGCATTCTTGTTTTCTGTCTCCTTACCTTGACCCTGCTCTGCTGTCGTGGCCCTTAGCTCTCTTTCAGGTAGGGCCTACTAATTCGTATGTTTCCCCACCTCAGACATCCGCATTGTGGTCTTGACAGAAGAGCTCACAAGGGTAGGAATGGGGATGGAGCCAGCTTGAAACTAGCCAGAGGCAAGGGAAAGAAATACATACTGAAGTCACTTCCTCTGTCCTGGGACCTGCCAGCACCTGCATATCAAACAGTTGTTGAGGCAGCTATTTATTGTCCCTCACTTTGTCATCCTCTGACTTCACTGATGCCCTCTGCTCTTCCTCCATTTCTCATTTTTTCCGTACTAGCTTTACCAGCTATCATAAATCTTAATACTTAGAGTTTGTGAAGGGGAAAGTGTCTGGTAACATTACCCTTGCCAAGGTTTGCTCCATTATAGAGTGTCATTAACATATTCTAGGTTCCTACTGCCAGCGCTGTAGGGAATTGCCCAGGTGAGGGACAGGGTTTCTTCCTACTCCAACTGCCTGTCCCGGTAGTGCCTGCACCCTCCTAAGAAGGTTGTGTAGAGACTCAGGCTCAGAAGCGAGGATTAGATCACCTGGAGAAAATGCTTGCAGATTGTAAAACATACTATGTGTGGTCAAGAGATGGGGCTCTCGGTGTCATTCCAGAGCAGTACCTATTTTTGAGGAATAGCAGCACAATTCTTAGTGTTTTTAAAGTTAAAATAGCCTACTTCTTCTCAAACTTTTAATGTGAGATTCATTCCTCTCCTCTCTTTTCTTTGCTTCCATTTCCATCCCATACACATTTAAAAGAGGCCTTTTTTTTTCCTTCCTTTAGTTCTCTGATTGGTAGGTAGAGAAGAAACAGAAATGTCCCACTTGAAAGGCACGTGTTAGTTGTTAAGCTTCCTGTAACTTACACTATATTTTGTAATATTTCTTAAAAATTGCATTAGATATTTTTCTGTTCAATTTTAATTGCTACTTTTTTCTATTTTTTCTTTTCTATTCAAAATTAATTCTGACTTTTAGCTATCCTCTTCAGAATATACAAGTGTTATTGTTATCGCCTTAGGCCTTTTTTTCATTTTGCTCTCTTGTTTTTGTTTTTTCCACAGTGCTATATACTGAACCCACAGCCTTAAGCATGCTAGGCAAGCACTTTATCATTGTGCTCCACTCCCAGCCCACTTTTACTATTTTAAATAGAATTCAGTAATTGTTTCTTCAAAACAGTTTAGATTCTGAGGTACTAAAGTCATATTTGAAAAATAAGTGTATCTTTTGTTTGTTCATTTATTGTTACAGGTTCGAATGCAAGCACTGAAATGCTTCTCGGTTTTAGCTTTTGAAAACCCCCAGGTATCGATGACCCTGGTAAATGGTAGGCTGGAACTTTCACTGGCATCTACGTGAGTTAATTCATGGACTTTGTAGATTCAAAGTGATTCCTCCTCTCCTTGTTTGCTTTGTTCCTAGTTTTGGTTGATGGAGAATTGTTACCACAGATATTCGTGAAGATGTTACAGAGGGATAAGCCGATTGAGATGCAGCTCACATCAGCAAAATGGTAAAAGTGAAAGCAGCATGGGAAGAGACAAGGCTTTGTCAGTGTCTTAGAGGAGGATAGCCTTATCACCTGACTCCAGTCCCCATCTGGGTTGTCTCACATTTTCCTAAATGACTGTGGGTCCTTTTATATTCAGTTTATTGCTGGTAGTATATAGAACAGGAACTCTCATATCGCGTCTAATGCTATCTACAGAAAATTATTACATCCTCAACTTATTCTACTTGTTCTTCAGTTGAAATAATATGGAATTAGATCAGTTATAACCAACACATTATATGCAGTATTAAGCCAGGAAAACAGAGAGATGCAGAAGTATGGAGTGAGAATGGAAGTTGATTATTAATATTATTAACATGTTGAGTACACGTTGTATGGGATTCTATGCTAGATGAACTGTTTAATTTTAATATTTAAGAAATTGTGGCTAAGAGAATTGGAAATTTTCAGTGAATTACTCAGGCATCTCAAATTACATTTTGTTTGTATTGCGTTTTTGTTTGCTTGCCTTTTGTCTTCAAAACTGAGCATTTCCTTCGTTAGTAATGTAATATTCTTATGTAAGTAGTTAAAAAAAACCAGTGTAATAACTAGCCTCACGACAATGATAACTCTAAAGACATTTCAGCCCTCCACAATAAAAGTAAAATAATTTTAATGATTTGTTTATAGCTTTTTATGAAAGCCAGACATGGAATATTTTAGTGTTTTCTCCTCCTTCCCAGCTTACTAAAGGGATCTAACTCAAAAATGAAATTCATTAATTTAAATTTCTGAACTACTTAGTGTCCACTGTCTGCCTATGGAGTGCCTTCTGTAATTATAAGGTAAATTGCTTTTCAGTACAGCACAATCACTGACCGATCCCCAGAACCTCTGGTAACCTCAGTTAATTTCTGATGGACAGTTAATGCTGCTTCTCTTATTAAATTGGAATATCCCAATTTAATTTTTGTTCAACTGAGATACTTTGTTATATATTTTTTTTTAACACTTCTTCCCTCTTTTATAATGGAAAATTCCAAACAAGAAGTATAGAGAAAATCATTTTTAAAAGCCCATTTATTTATTTACTACGTAGCCTAGTCTGACCTGGAACTTGTGCTCCTCAGCCTCCCAAGTGTAGGGATTGTAGAAATGCACCGCTATGCCTATCTTTAGACCAAAAATAAAATACAATAAAATCTTGAAAGGCAAATAAGCTTTAAACTTTAAGTCAAAATTTACTTACTTTCTGTCATTTTATTACAGTTTAACTTACATGTGCAGAGCTGGAGCAATTCGGACAGATGACAACTGTATTGTATTAAAGGTAAGCTAATTAATTTTCTCTAAAAATATAAAAATTGTCCTTTTTTTTGGCAGCACTGGGGTTTTTGAACTCAGGGCCTCATGCTTGCTAGGCAGATGCTCTTATCACTTGAGCTATTTTCCCAGTCCTTTTTTTTGTAATAGGGTTTTTTTTTTGAGATAGGGTCTCATGAACTATTTGCCTAGGGCTGGATTCGAACAGAGATGCTCCTGATCTCTGCCTCCTGAGTAGCTAGGATTACAGGTGTGAGCCACCGATGCCTGGCAAAAATTGTACAATTTTCTAAATGTTGAATATGAATATTGGTATTTGTTTCTTTTTTATACATTTATTACTATGTGTATGTGTCACAGCATAAAATACAAAAGTATGGTGCTTTTTTTCAGTGGAATCTATGTCGTTTTAAAATACTGGTTTTACCAAAGACTGTATGTTTTCTGTCCTGTGTGGAATATGAGCCCATTACAAATACAAGCAATATTATGAAAAACAGGTCATGCTAAGGGGAGGTCACTAATGGGAGAGGGAAGGTAAGAGAAAGAAGTTAAAGTGAATGTGGTTGATGTACTATACAAAAATGAATGTAGAATTTTTAAACCTGTTGAAATCACCATAAGAAGGGGACTAAGGTAGAAAAGAGAAAAATAGAGGTGATGAATCAATTTGGGTTATAATACATAGATACATATATAATACATATATACGTGGACGTATAGCTATATTAAACAAACAAAAATGTCTTTTTGCAAAAACAGAACAGGAAGTTTAGTAAAACAGGTCCTGTTTGGGGGTTGGTACAAGTGTGTATATTTTCGGGGAGAGATAAGGAAGGGATGTAAGATGGTGAATATGGTGGAAATACTATGTATTATATATGAAAATGGAACGGTGAGACCTGTTGAAACTGCTCCAGGAATGAGGGGAGGGGGGATAAAGGAGAATGATGGAGGGGGTGAATTCAACTATGATATATGTTTGTAAGATATATATTGTATGATATATTTGGTAAATGTCACAATGCACCCCAGTACAATAAAAAAAAAAATTAAAATACTGTCTTTAAATGTATTGTGAACATCAAAGTGAAATGATTCTTTCCTTGTCACAACCTTTTCATTTTTATGGTAATTAGAATGTAAAAGTATATAAAATTTAGATGAAATAGAAAATATTTTAATTCCTGATTTTCATTAAATTTACAGTACAGTTTTATAGATAGGCAGTTTGCCAGTTCTACAGAAAAGGCTTTATGTCACTCTCACAGCCAGTCATCAAGAGGTAGTGGAGTGAGGGGGTGGGGGCAGGGGGGAGAAATGAACCAAGCCTTGTATGCACATATGAATAATAAAAGAAAAATGAAAAAAAAAAAAAGAGGTAGTGGAGTGGCTTAAGTAGTACAGCACGTGCCTAGCAAGTGTGAGGCCCTGAATTAAAATCCCAGTACTGAAAGAAAAAAAAAAAGGCATGATGAAAGAGCAAATAAATAAATAACATGAAAACAACCATCTTTATTGTGATATGGCGAATCCAACCTGAATTTAGGAAAACATGAATAGAAGTCCTGAAACCTGGATTCTGTTTTTTGGTACTTCCTACCACTTTTGTTGCTTCAGACTCCTGATTATGAAAGTAGAGGTACTAATTCCTGCTCAACTATCTCACCAAGTTATTGCAAGGATAATAATATTAAATACATTCAGATGTCACAGTGTCATTTTATTAATGTGAGATCTCTCATTACTGTTGTTCAAAATGTGAGCCTAAGACTAAAAGACTCTTAAGAAGACTAAGATTGAACTGGAGGTATGGCTCAAGTGGTAGAGTACCTCAGGCTCGAACACCAGTACTGTCAAAAAAAAAAAAAATGAAGACTAAGATTGCTTTAGTCTTTGGTGAAGGGAATCAGTTTTAGGAGCTGTGAAGACCCACGTAAACAATTCAGCTTAGAACATGATAAAAGCGAGAGCACACAAGGAAGGGGTGAGGATAGGTAAGACACCTAAAAAACTAGCTAGCATTTGTTGCCCTTAACGCAGAGAAACTAAAGCAGATACCTTAAAGCAACTGAGGCCAATAGGAAAAGGGGAACAGGTACTAGAGAAAAGGTTAGATCAAGAAGAATTAACCTAGAAGGTAACACCCACGCACAGGAAATCAATGTGAGTCAATGCTCTGTATAGCTATCCTTATCTCAACCAGCAGAAACCCTTGTTCCTTCCTATTATTGCTTATACTCTCTCTACAACAAAATTAGAAATAAGGGCAAAATAGTTTCTGCTGGGTATTGGGAGGGGGGGGAGGGGGCGGAGTGGGTGGTAAGGGAGGGGGTGGGGGCAGGGGGGAGAAATGAACCAAGCCTTGTATGCACATATGAATAATAAAAGAAAAATGAAAAAAAAACAATTCAGCTTAGAGTGCTAAGGGCTACAATACAAATGACTGTTTTATTTACTTGTTTAACCTTCTTTTTCCTTCTCATTGAGAAGATAGGTTTAGTAGTAATTGTCATATATAATAGTTGGTAGTCTTAAATTCAGTAATCCACAAATTTAATGAATTTATGGCATTGATAAATATTAGGAACTTGAGGGAAAGGAGAATAGGATCTTTGCCTCAGAAGCCTATAATTGAGTTGTAAATCTTGACCTAACTTAATAGGAACTCATTAGTGAACCACAAATGCTAACTTCTGTGGTAAAAATACAATAGGAACTTACTATAAAAGAGCAAAGTCCAGCTGACTGCAGTAGTTGAGGAAAGCTTCCAAAATTTACAGCATTTCAGTGTCTACTTCCATATATACACATATCAGTCTTCAAAACAATAATACATGGGCATTTTTATTAAGAGCCTAATGTATTTAAATGACCAAGACCAGTGCCAAGGTCTTAAGGATCAGAACTAAAAGTGACTGATAGATACCACAGGCATTCCAGCGAGTTCTTGGCAAATCTAACAACTGTGATTGCTGAATTCACTCACATTTTAGAACCAGTAGAATCCAAGAATGTTTAAAGCTGTATTTCATTTTTGCAACTGTAGATATTAATACTGAAAAAAAAATAAAAGTCATTCTATTCATATTACCAAGGAAAGATCAGCAGGAAAAAAGAATTCCTGATTAAACTGCTGAATCTCTTTTAGGTAAATAAATGCATAGGTGGGGCAGACCTGTCAGACATGACTTGTTAGGGAGGTATTCTTGAATGTTTGTCATTAGGTGTCCAATAAAGCTTCAGCCCTATCACAAAAGCTAATTAGATTTCCTGTGCATATACTTTGTCTGGTTAGACTTTAGTGTACCAGCACAGATGATTAATCCGCACTGAATTTTGTTTGTTTTTGCACTAAAGTTTTATTCTCTGAAAACCAATAAAAGAAATGCTTGATCACAAACATGACTCCTAGTAATCCTATTGAGCCGTGTTCTTCATCAAGCTTTTGCCTTTACCAAAACGCAAATAATTAATCTCCTACCTTTCAGACATTACCTTGTTTGGTGCGAATGTGCAGTAAGGAGAGGTTGCTAGAGGAGAGAGTTGAAGGAGCTGAAACCCTCGCCTATCTGATTGAGCCAGACGTTGAACTACAGAGGATCGCCAGCATAACTGATCACCTCATTGCCATGCTTGCTGACTATTTCAAGTATCCCAGCTCAGTGAGTGCCATCACTGATATTAAACGGGTATGTTCTTCTCTTTCCCTTCTAGCAGCTGAGAAAGATTTTTCCTTTTGCTCACAATTTTGAAACAATTGGTAATTGCTGCTCAAAGCCTTTTTATGTAAAGGAGTCTTTTATCTTTGTTAACATAGATGATAGTGCTTTGTGAGTTTTTTGATACAATTTGTTCAGTATTTGTCAGGAAATTTTTTTACTAAGCACATAAGCAGGAAAAAGAAAATTGCATCCCTGGCTCTCCCAATTGAACCACTAAAATAGTAGATTCTCTAAAGTGGGCATTGACCTACCAGCAGTGGCTAACTCTGTTCAAGGTCATGGAACGTCTCTTGTTGCTATATTCTCATTCTTCAGGTAAAAGGTGATCAGTGCAAAACATTTTTGGAACTACTTTTAAGAGTTGCGTTTATAGATAGGTGCTGGTGACTCACACATGTAATTCTAGCCACTCGGGAGGCAGAGATCAGGAGGATTGTGGTTTAAAGCCAACCCTGGGCAAATAGTTCATGAAACCCTATCTTGAACAAACCCATCACAGAAATAGGCTGGCAGAATGCCTCAAGTGGTAAGAGTGCCTACCTCGCAAGCAGGAGGCTCTGAGTACAAACCCCAGTAATAATTGCCTTCATAGCTGTTTCAACTGAGTTATTATTTTCTGTTTTGTGGAGGTTTTGGTTACACTAAATGATAATACTCAGCTGGATTTTACATCCCATAATCACTGAGCGTTAACTTAAAACTCTTGGTTGATGAAGCTATTCCATTGTCTGGGTTTCTTTTAGCTAATCTGTTAATTAGCTCTTTAGGAAGTTTCCAAAGAGCAACACCTGTACCACTGGATAAGAGTTAACCTTTCCAAGGCATCTCATTTTGAAAGACACTCATTCAGATGAATAAATTATGACTTTTAGTTTAAAATTATTTGTATTATTAATATACCTTGTACAGTTACTAGTTCATAGTCATTAAAAGTAAGCAGGTTTGTGGAGGAATTAGCTAAGTCATTTATGTTTAAAGATAGCATTCATTGCCAGTAGATAATTTTAGGAATTTTCTTAAAAAAAAAATAAAAAAGACAGCTTAGACATAAATCTCAGATAACTGAAATAGATAGTAATTGCTACCATGGAGTATCATTTATTAGGTTTTTACAAAGAGTTTCCTGTTTCTAAAAGCTTTTTCAGTGCTGAAGTTAGGCCAGCACTACTGTTAATGTTTGTGGAAACCTCCTGAAAACATCAGTGTGACCGCACCTAGTTTATCAGCTGCATTCTGGGACTAGAAATGCCTAAGTAATGCCTTCTTTTTGCAGAGAGCATTTCAAACAGCTGCTGAAAGAATCATTGTTACTAAAACTACCATCTGGGGCGCCAGTGTCTCACGCCTATAATCCTAGCTACTCAGGAGGCAGAGATCAGGAGGATCTTGGTTCACAGCCAATCCAGGCAAATAGTTCACAAGACCCCATCCTGAAAAAAACTCAAAAACCCATCACAGAAAAGGGCTGGTAGAGTGGCTCAAGATGTAGGCCCTGAGGTCAAACCCCAGTACCACCAAAAACAAAACAAAAAAAACCAAACTACCATCTGGGAATACTGAATTTTTAGAGGTCAGATATTCACAAGAGTTTTTCATATGTCAGTGTCAGGTGTCATGGTGCTCACTCTTAAAAGCAGATTCCATTTCAGGTCTCAGTCATATGTGAACAGATCCCAGAAAAACTAGAAAATTCATCTAGTGACAACACTAGCATGTTAATAGCTGTGGCACATTTTTTTCCTTCAAACTATAAAATTTAATTTATGAACTGAGTTGGAATATATCTTTTTTGTCCCTTTCTGTAGCTTGATCATGACTTAAAACATGCTCATGAGCTCCGCCAGGCTGCATTCAAGCTCTATGCCTCTCTTGGAGCAAACGATGAAGACATCCGGAAGAAGGTGAGTCTGGGAGAGGGGCGTCCCCCAGTCCTGACAGCCAGCAGGCAGGGAGTGACGTCAACCTGAAAGTCGTGGTGAAGAGCACTAACAGTGACTGTTTGAATATAATAAAGCAGAATGACAAAAGGCATAATTGAAGAATGAATGGGACCTGGATTTGGGGGGTCGTTTGTTTGTTTTTAGAACATAGAGTGGCATGGCCATGCTGGAATGACAAATAACTGGCCTGCTTTTTTTGTGTCATTAACATGGATTATTATGTTGCACATTTTTGCATGTGTTCTGATAAAAGTCAATTTTAGCACTGTGAAGCTTCAGACACCTTGAAGACTGACCTAACACTTAGAATGTAAATGTTATTTATGGGAATTCTTCCAATGCCATTGAGAAGTCAAATTTCTATTGTATATTGTTCTTTGATATGTGGCTTAGTTTTATGTTTTGATTTTTTTTTTTTTTTTTTTTGCTACTGTGCAAGTTTAATGTGAATAAAATCTTTGTGGAATGATGATTTTATGTTTAGTGAGTGGTCATCTGAATTTTCTAGCTCCCCCAAAATGTGTCACTCTTGTAGCACCATATGTTACTACAGTCTAGTCTGATGCTGACCTCATGTCCTTTATCAGAAAAGTTCTAGGTAAGAAGTAAAGTGTTGTGGTAAGTTCTGACCCGGCTCCCTCAACAAGCCATAAGGCTGAATCTTACCTCTCAAAAACTCAGAGTCTACACAGGCTTTTACAGTCATCATGGAGCAAAACCACACGTCTGTCTTCGGGAGCCATAGTAGAAAGGGCATTGGGTATTTCTACTGAACAGGACAGGTTACTGAACCCTCCCCATTTATAGTGCTATTTTAAGGAGTACTGTGAGAGAAATCACAGAGCATTGGCAGTTCCCATGATTCAGAGAAGTACTTCAGGCCTATTGGAAAGAGAAATATGGAACAATCTTAAGTTCATTGAACTAAATTGAAAAAGAAGCATCCTTAAAGAAATGGAAATTATAGCAATAAAAGTAAATGTGTGAAGTGCTTTGAAAAATCAGCACCAAAAAAAAAAACACAACTAACTCGATGAATGTTTTCTGTGTACCTTAATCTAGTTCAGCTAACAAGCTTTTTTTTTTAACCTTTTTGAAGTGTTTCTAGTATATAACCTATAAAAATCATTTTTGACACCTAAACTTTAATTTGTAAACTGTTACTTCAAGGCAAACATGTTAATAATACAATATTTCCTGTGTCTAAAATGATTGCTAGATGTTGACACTGATATAGTTCATTTACTTTAGATATGTGCTATAATACAAGGGAAGAGGCCTTTATGGTAACTCATATAGATAAAGCCAATGATGACATGGACCACAGAACTTAAATACACCATGGTTTGGTTTCAGATGATTATTAAGGCCCTTTGGGAACATGATAAGTATTTTGCCCATTCTTATAGGTCCAGAAGACCATGTCATGGACTGAAAGGGAGATAGATAGATGGACCATAATGGGGAGAAATAGGATGTCCATTTGCACTTCTCTGTAATTTTTTGTCAATAAAATATTGTTTCGGAATTAGTGACTTGATTTGTGGTATCATGTTCTAGAAATACTTGCAACATAACAGTCTAATCAGTATTCTATTAAAATTTGTATTCGTAATGTGTACAATTTACTGGTAAGGCTGACTACTGATCGTTCTGTAGAAAGATGACAAATAAAGAATAAGTTATAATTACTAATTATAGTTTTTGTGTGGTAAAGATAATGTGACATTATTATGTGATGGGGATTATGTAGCACTTTTAGGAAGATATTTAATTTCTGGGAAATTGTTTGAATAATTTGTAGTTCATAGTACTTACTAAAGAAATTGTAAAGTGGAAAATACAAAGTAATTTTGTGATAAAGTTTTCTTGAAGACTGGGCCCAGGAGTGGAAAATCCTTATTTTTCAATGTATAAGAAATGATAAATAACTTTTTCCTTTGAGTGCCTTTATTTCTATTCCTTTTTTTGTTGAAATAATTAATTTACTTTCTCCATGAAGTATTTCTTTCTCTTTTATGCTTATGCTTTATGAACTTTGATTGTATTCCTTTTTGTTTTGTGTAGATTCTCAAAGTATAATGTTTATGGTTTTATTTTTTAATGTAGTATTTATGCTTGCCAAGATGGGTATTTAGTTAACTGAGTTAATGAGTGAATAATCTCTGAAAGAAGTTTCAAGGACTGTGGACTCTCCCCCAACACAAAGCAAAATAAAACCAAAACCCCAAAGTTTTTTTGTTTGTTTCAGCAGAAAAAGATGAAACTTTCAGTTGGTCTTCTTTTCATATTGAAAACAGGAACATAATTCAGTAAATACAGTAAATAATATGTACCACAGTACCCTATTATGGACAGTTAAGGAAAGGAGGGAGAATAAAGAAGAGAAACGCAAAAAGTAGAGCCAGTGAGAAGTACACACAGCATTCAAGGAGGACACCAACTTCTCTACATAGAATTCTGTCTCTTTCTATCTTAGTACTTTAAAGGATTTCTTTTTCTTTTTTTTTTTTTTTTTTTTTTGAGATGGGGTGGGGGGGGGTCTCACTGTATTGCTCAGACTGGCCCTAAATTCATGAACTCAAGTTATCCTCCTGCCTCAGCCTCCTGAGTAGCTGGGACTATAGGCATTTAACACCATACCAGACTTTAAAAGATTTGCAAAAACCTGCCGTGTTGTCATTTCTTGATACCTTCTCTTTGGGCCAGACAAAATTAAGCTGAAGACTGAATGTGACCTCTAGGTCAGACATTCAGATCCTTGCTTTAGAGCAGCATTGGTGTATTCTCATTAAAAGAAACCAGCTGTTCCTATAACTTAACAAGCACTCTTAGAACTGAAAATGCAGAAAATACAGAGTGACATTTCCTTTAATATGCCTTGATCTTACTGTAACCGGACAGAGCGAAGCTGGTGTTTTAATGCCTGGCTTTGCATCTTTTATCACTCTGGCATACTCACAGACTTCTTATGATTTCCTGCCACAAGAGTAAAGGAGAGTGGTGCTGCTGAGTTGTGCATGTGACAGTGAAAAACGTTAACCTTTGGTGTAACATGAAGAGGGAGAAGAAGACCAGGAGAACACAGTGGACCACTGAACTTAGCAGCAGTTGTAGCCTACCCATGGCAAACTTACTGGAATTCAAATTACCTATAATAATGGACCCTCATCCTGGTTAGGAGAGATTATGGTTGGAGAGAGTAGGGGCATGGGCAGGAAATGACAGCATGATAGAAGAAGGATCCAGAGCAGATTAGCAGTAGCTGCACTGACACATTGGTTTAATCTCTGCTGGGGAAGTCTAGTATTTAATGACAGCCTTTACCTCATATTAATGCTGACTCAGAAGTAGAAGTCCAGTTTGTGGGCAGTAAAAAGGAGAAAAGTTAAGATATCAAGCAAATAGACCAATCAGCTGTTTCATGTTCTAGCATCATCAGTAAATTGTTAAATAATGCAAAGGCAGTAGTGACAAACTGTCCTGTAATTTTGAAGTCAATTCTTTTATTAAAAAAAAAAGATAAAGACCACCACTGATTGATACCTGTTGATCATCCATTAGATTGGAAGTTGAAAAACAATTATCTCTCTTTTAAGAACTAGTGGAAATTGTCAGAAAGTGTAATTTAAAAAGTAAGGAAATTAAGGAGGATGTTTTTATTTTTGATAAAAATAAACACATTACAAATGTTAAATGAAACACTCACTGTAGCCTGTGCTCCTCTGGGGCATCTGACCGATAGCCTTTCAGAAAGCTCTCCTCTTACATTTGCATACTGATCCTTTAGCTGCAGATGTCTTTGGAGGAAGTAGAGTGTAAGCTCCATGAGAGCAGGGACTGTTTTTTGTTTTGTTTTTTTTTTATGTTTTGTTCATTACTGTATTCCCAGCAATTACAATGCTGTCTGTTCATAGTTGGTACTTAATAAATATTTGATGATTGAATGAGTGAATGAACAAAATGAATCAACAAACTAATGGATGAATGAGCCATATTGCAGATTGCATTACTGAGTATGAATTACCAAATTACATACAGTCCTGTCTGCATTAGGAACATTCCTTACTTCACTAGAAGGTCTGTGCGCATGTAAAGAGGAAGTTTAAAATGGGGGAAATATCTATGTGGTTGTGTGGACAGGGGTTTCATTATACTCAGCATAGGAAAAATGAAGGAAATGGCCATTTTTCAAGAAGCAGGAAATCTCTAGGGCATGTCTTCTAACTACTTGGATATAGGCCAAAGAGAACATTTTATTTTAAAAATAATGTTGACCATTATATCTTAATTGGAAATGTCAGCGTGAGTCTGGAGATACAACTCAGAGATAAAGCACTTGCCTAGCATGTACAAGGCCCTGGCTTTGTTCCTCAGAACTGCAAAAAGAGAGAAAGAAAATATGGAATATTTTATCCCTTTCTAAATGTATGATTTTAAAAAATGATAGAATTCACAAGTGCGACTGATTAAATTTTGTAGGAATAAAGATAGGGTTTGGTTCATAGAAATTAACCTGACTCCTAGCAATCAACCTTCCCTATACAAAATATTATCTTCCCAATTGGTGAATGTCTAACTTTAAAAAAGACTAGTAATTTAATGAATTCTACACATATGAATTGAACCACCTCCAATTGTATAAATTGTCCACTGGAGGGGTATGCAGTGAGGGGAAGTAAATGGCAATAAGACATAGCCCTGGGGCTGGAGTTGTATCTGAAGGATCATGGATGGAAATCGAATCTGAAAAATGAACTAAAAGCAAAAGCTCTGGGGGCATGGCACAGGTGGTACAGTACTCGCCCTTCAAGCCCAAGACCCTGAGTTCAAACTCCAGTATACCACCACGACCACCAAAAAACAAGAAAGACTCATCTTAAAACCCAGGTATCATAACAAAACCTCAGTAAGTCAGAGGGAAGTAAATGACCAGTAAGAATTCATTGAGGGCTCAAGGA